TCTCTGATAAAGTTCTTGGATTCTTCTTTTAATTTGATCTGGAGATTTGCGAGGGTATTTTCTTTTGATTTGATCATGAATTTTCTTTAGAGAAAATTCCTAAGCTTTCAGCACTTGAACATTTTTACCATTAGATTTGATGACTTTATTTATTTGAGTTACCTTGTCATCCACAATGATTGCGGACACCACCATTTGATGAAAAAAGTTCTCCATAAGCATTTAGTATTGAGTTTATCTGGTTGATTACACAGATTTTAGGCAAAGTTTCTAGGAATTTGTGCCTATGCTGGATATAGATTGTTGATAGATTCCGGAATAATTTCATTGGTAGTTCCAAATTTATCCCATTAAGATAAAGACCAATTTGATATTTCTTTATTGAAGATTTCAGACATTTACACAAACAACCAGGAATGTCTATGCCTTGGATTAATTAGTAAAAATGCATGATTCATGGCTTGGACATATGTCCAATAATTACAAAGAAATATTTTCTTTTGTTTAGATACATGATGTATAAATTCAATTTGTTTAAATTGAAATGGAGTTAAACCCCAATCCTTGTGGTGCAAGATGAGATTTATTGTTGTCTTGCTATATGCAATAAATTTATTAAGTTCATTATAATTGTGTTGAATTTCAACAAATTGTAATGAAATGTATGAAATTTCATATGATTCGCGGCCAAGATTGTCTTGTGTATAGAGAATTATGTCTAGTTATCTGACCTGTATTTTTAAGGGATCATTAATTTCATAATCCTCTAGATTAATTTCGATAATTTTTTTCTTTTGAAGATTTTTGCACGAATTCTGTGATATTTTGAATTTGTAATTCAGGAGATTGTTCTTTGGATGTGGATGTCATTGGACTACCATATAAATATTGCTTTAAATCAATAAAGTTTTGTGGGGACATTAGTTCGACTTCAATCTTTTCCCTATCGAAAGGTGTGGTTACCTTATAGGGTATATTATACTGCATTTATGAGGGGTTATCCACCCCTCTTCTTTTTTCCTCCAAAAATTTACGAGTGAGAAAGTCAAGTAAAGAATTAGTATTATTTGAACTATATTCTATAACAAATTTAAAACAAGATAACTGTGTTTGCCAATTGACAAAGATTTCTTTAAAGATATGATTTTTTACGTCTTTTTGCAGTATATACATAATTGAACTGCAATCAATTCTTAATAAAAATTTTTGATTTAATAAATAATCTTGAAATTTGGTAATGCATATGACGACCAAAAGTATTTTTTTTTTGTCGAATATTTTCTTGAGTTTTATTCCACTTGCTAGATGTAAAGTGAACCAATTATTTGGTATTAAAAATTTTTTGCTTTAAGATTCATCTGTAGCCAATAGTAGAGTCACGTCTCTGCTATTTTAGGGAGAGACGGATTTGCAATATGTAAACAAGGTAAAATTTTTATCTTTTGCTTAATAATTAAACATATTTAGTATGATTTTTTGTCCATAGATTGTTTTGTTTCTCTAATCTATTATGAAGAATAACATCTAAAACAAGATCTTCATAATAGTCTGCTACGTAATTGAACAATCACAAAAATCTCTGTAATTTACGGAGATCAGTGATTTCATCTGAAAATTTAGAAACAAATTTTATGATTCTTTCAATTAGAATAATTGTATTCCAGACAATATTATGTCCTAAAAACCGTATTTTGGTTTGAAATATATTGATTTTTGGCGCAGGGATTACCAGCCCATTATTTTTGAAGGGTCATTGAATTGTCTGTAGATGTCTAAAATGTTCATCTATTGATTTAGAGAAAACAACGACATCATCAACATAAACTAATATATAATTAGAAAATCGATTTAAGATTCATTCATAATTTTCTGAAATTTTGGAGAATCATTTTTTAGTCCAAACGACATAACGTTTCATTCAAAATAATCAAACGGAACAATAAAAACTATTTTATACATGTCAGATTCAAGGATTTCTATTTGCCAGTATCCAAATTTTAAATCAATTTTTAAAAATATCAGAGATTTACTTAAGCGATTAAGTAAGTACTTTTTTATTCGATATGAGATATTGAATCCATTTTAAAACTTCATTTAAAGGTTTATAATTAATAACTAATTTAGGTTGATTTTTTTCTATTTCTGCATTATTTATAACATAGAATGTTGTACGGCTCCAAGGGGAGCTAGATTTTCTACTTAATTTCTTATTAAAGAGTTCATTAATTTCTTTTTTTAAATTTTTAAATATTCTTAATTCATTTGACAAGGTTGTGCCTTTGTCTTGATATTTCTTTCATCGAAATTATTGATATATGGTAAAATAATACAGTATTTTTTTTTTATCCCAAAAAGCAGCTGGATTTTCACCGCATATTTTTTTTAACTTATTTTTTTGCTGTTCAATTATTTTGTCTTTTATGAAATTATTATTCAATTTCTCTTCTATAGATAACAAAATAATTTCTTCTCGGAAGTGATTAATTTGATTTTGTTTTAACTTAAATTTATTTATTTCATTTAAAATAATTTTTGTAGGATTAGTAATAAATACAAAAATAATGATTTTTTCAAACTTGTTAGAATATATGTCAGTATTATCTATTTTATTAATTGACATAATTTTATAAAGGAACGGAGTTCCAAAAATAATATGTTGAGTTAAATTTTTAACTAATATAAAATGTGTATTAATTCAAAGATCATTTTTGTAAATATTATCAGAAGAAATTTTATATTTAATTTCTATTTTATTTCCAGATGCAGAAGTTAATTGCTTCGTAGTTTTCTCAAAATATTTAAAAGATATTATTCTTTCTTGAATACAATTTATATCTGCTCCGCTATCAACAAGAGCAATAAGATTAGATAAAATATATTCTCGATTTATATTTAAAGAAATGATTATAAATCATTTATGCATAATAGTTTTTTGTAAGAAATTTTAAAAAAATGGTTATAAATTGTTATTCTTTTCTACTAATATTTCTGTAGGTGTAATATTATTTATTTCTAATTTTAATAATTTAGTATTTTTTTCTTGATTTTTTCAAAAAATATTTATCACAGAATTTAAAATATTAACTTCATTTTTTAAATCATTTATAATAGTAGATTTACTATCAATATTTAAAAGTAAAGTTTTAGTTAAAACTTCTTTCATTAAATAATCTTGAAAAGGAATTGTATTTAGAAGAGGAGGATTCTCCTTTATATTCTATAATTATTTTAAGCATTTTATTTTGAATTTTTTCATCCTCAATTTGGGATGTAATTTTAAGTTTCTCTTCTTTCATTGAAGAAGATAAAGTAAGTAAACCATTCATTTCGACTATAAATTTATATTAATTTTTGTTATTACATTTGCTCTCAGATTTTGATGTGCAATTATCTTCATCAAAGTCTTATGAATAAGAGAAATTGTCCTCAATTTCTTCTGAATTGTCAGAAGTCCCCCAAGATTCAGGAGATTAATTTAATATAATTTTGAAAATAGATAGTTTAATATTTTTATCAATTTTAAGCTCATTTATTTTCATTTTAATTATGCATTTATTTACATAGTGGTCAGTCTTGCCACATTTGTGGCATTTGATTTTTCTTTTTTTTTTATGAGAAATCTTTGGCTTGTTCTCTGAACAATATTTTTCAGAGCGTTGCTTATGATATTTCTTTTTTTTTGTAAAGATTTTTCTTTTTCTTTTGCAAATTTAGGAATGTCAAAAGCAAATTGTTCACAAAAATGGCATAATTGTTTTTTTTCTATTTACCTTACTTTTTTAAACTGATATATAATTTGAGATTTGTGCAATAGGCTAAGCCTTTATGTATACATGTATTTATTAATTGTTCATATGTCAAATTTTCATATGAAATATGTTTGATGTTAATATATTATGGTTGTCTTTTTACCTTATCGACAAAAATATTAGGTAAACCTTAATAATTTTTTGTTTCCAGTGTGTGTTATTTGCATTTGGTAAAGACATGACTTTAATTAAAAAAACATTTTTGTACTAACGAAAATGGGTTAAAATTGGACATCTTAATTTTTGTAAAAGATAACGAATTTGTTCTCCATTATCAGATACTATGCCGGTAAAATATTGTAAAATATTGATAATTAATTTATAAACATTATCGATGTTTTCTTGATTATGATTTCTTATTATAGTAGATTTCTTATTATTGTATGACTTAAAAATTATTCTTTTTGTTCTTGAGTTAAATAATTATCCCACCAGCCATTGAGAAGACCAATAAACCCACAAGTTAACTGGGTTACAATTTAATGGGCGCGATTATTATGATTTTGATCGGCGGAGGCATAAATCATCTTTCTTTGTAATACGATTTGTATTTGGCGATCAGTCATGCCATCAATATCTCATTCATAAATATTAGATGGATTATAATTATTTTGATATTTATTATTATCTCCTTCATACAAAACATCTGTAGGGGTATGTTGAGGTTTTATTGCCTTTTTAATTTATATATTTTAAATTAACATGTCTATATGTTGTTCGGTATCAATTTTGTTTTTTATTTTCTATTTTTTGTTTTTATGTTGTTTTATTTATGTTATGATTTGAAACAAAATTTGTTTAGTATATTTGATGAAGATGTAAACATCTAAAAGTTATTTTGAGTATTTTGAAAAGTATATTTATTTATTTTTAGAAAAAAAAATAAAAGATATATTAAAAACATATTAAATCAACATGTTTTAAGAATTAAATTTAAAAAAAATAAAATTGATCAGGTGAATAGAAGAAAATTAACTCTCTGACAAATATATCATTAAGAGAAGCTGATCATTTTAAAATGAGAATCTAGCCCTTTGCTTTCAATTGCGGCCTCCATTATTCAAGTTACATATTTCATGTATAAGAATTCCTGTCATATGGAAATTCTAAGTACATGCTACATGTTGATTCCATAGGATTTTACAGGCAATTCAAACTCCAATTCTTACATGCTACATTTTGATTTAATAGGATTTTACGGGTGATTCATGCTCCAATTTTTCTCCAGCATTTTACATCTAATAGAACACACATGAGGAATCCTGATGGAAATTGGATTGCTCCACCTCCAAATTATGAACCAATTATCTCTCAAGGTATGTTCCCAGTGTTTATTATTGCATTTCAACTGTTCCTTTAATCCCATTACTTTCACAAATACTGTGCAAAAAATAATAAATTTAATAAGATGAATATTAGCAAATTAATAATTGTATTTTGTTTCTAGTGTTTAATTTGCGAAGCATCTTTTTTTGCGCTACCGCCATACAACAACAACAAACCTTTATCCCACTAATTGGGGTCAAATGTCATGATTTTTCGACAAATTTTACACTGACTGTCGACTAACTAACGCGACCCTCCACTTTTTACACCCGGGACTTGGGACACATTGATGGCAGCGGTAAATCCCAAAAATATTCAAAAGTAATGCCACATACCTATGTGGATGGTTTTAAAACATGTGATCTTTGGTGTTGATCACTTCAAACACAATCTCCAAGGTCGGTGACACTAGATTTATTCCTGCAGTTATCCTTGGTTGCTATTTCTGAAAATAGCAAAGATGCATTCTATTCGGAAAATCCATGTCTATGGCCATACAAAACTTTCTTATTAATTAAATTCATGCCCAAATTCATGCCATTTTGGTATTCGGTTTTTCATGCTTTGAAGTCCTGTAAATTATTTTTCAAGTTATCTTGTGAACTACTTGGAGTCTAGAATCATTCTCTTGTATCTTATTTTCCAAATTTCTGTGTTTTTATTTAGATGGAAGCAAAGATAACCTTGATGAATATATTCGGATTTGTGCTGCTGATGTTATGACTGATATTAATGCTTCGGTCGATGGCATATACTCGAACAAGTATGGTGTCTTGATTAGTGAAGACAAATTGGAGGCATTCTTTTCTTTCATACATTAGAGACGTCCTTGATTAGTGAAGCCATGTTCTATATATTTATTATAATCTATTCTTTTTATCATTGGCCATTTAAAGATTAATATACATGGAAAGTGTCAGTCATGCCCACTTTTAGCTGCACCCAACAATCCCATGGTTATTATGTAATACGGTTAGTTTTAAACTTTTCAAACTCTGAAACTAAAGCTAAATGCTTCTATTCTGTTATTGAATGATTTATTTGAGCATCTAAAGAGTTCTACTAGCATAATATATATAATGAAAAGGTTAGCAAATTTGATGTTTCAAAATAGGCCCAACCGCATAATTGCTGGTCTCACATATTATTTTGAAAGGTAGGCTCTAGTTGGGCGTTACAAATTACAATAGCAGGAGCTATTTTTCCAAGAAATTTTAAACACTTGAAAGGCCTTCACAACTTTCAAATATGCTATTAAATTTGAATTGTATGTGTTTGGCTAGAAGATTTGGTGCTGGTAATCTAGACGAGTATGGCTTACCAGCTCGTAGGGGTAACCAACTTTACCAGCTCTAGCCTTGCTAGTACCAGGTACCTGTGAGTGCGGGCGAAGGGAGAGACCAATAGCAGCACTAAACGTTCGCCTTATTTAGAAGGCCTTCCAAAAATGAGAGTTCTTTTTTACCATGCTTCTGTGTCCCCGGTATGAAGTCAGCATCGCTGTATGACCATGTGCCAACTCTTGATCCTTTTTTGTGTCCTGGCTCCCCTACCTTCCCACCCATCAGAACCAGAGAAGCTACACACTCCTCAGTTATACCTAATTCTCCTATGAAGAGAAAAGGTTTTAGTTTTGACCTAATGTTAATCATTTTCTTACCTTGAGCTAATATTATATGTCCCAACACAATGCCTTCTGTCATTACAAATTGGAACATCTCCTAATTGCAAATTTGATTGGGTTCTTTAAATTGGTCCAAAACTAACTCCAAATATTTGAGGCGTGCATGGAAGTATGATCCAAAATCTAAAATGTTATTCGACAACACTTTCATGAATAGTATCACCATTTTAGAAAATATGGTCATCATGCAACCCATAAAGTAGTTGGTGGATTACATAGTTTAAATAGTATTCACTTAAACGCAAAGGTTCTATATAGACATGTGAATGTGACACTCTTTTGATCTTTTGATGTTATCGAACTTTAATTGTGTCTCTCCTCATCCTACAGTCCCCCCCTAATTTCCATCTCAACAGTTGATTTTTTACTTGAACTATTGGTTGACATCCACGATATAAGACCCCTCAGATCGAGGGTTCGAGCCCCCTCTGACACAGTTGGCCTTAAGGTGGTACTCGATTAGTTAGGCATATTATGGTTAGTTGGAGGCTCGTATAAAAATTGTTTTGATTTTTTTTTTATATATATAAGGATATTTTAACAATGAAAAATCATTAACTAGAAATGCTTATGCTTCATTCTTGATAAGTTGACCACATGAATATACACGGTGATCAATTCTACAAAATTTCCAATAAATTTTGCAAATTAATGAATATTTTGGTAAAAATGCAAATACAAAAAAAAAAAAAAAAAACATTCAAACATCTTATAGTGGTTAGGAAATTTACATTTCGCTAATTAATTTTATTAAAATAATAGTATTTTTATTAAAAAATTATTATTAAAATAATAATATATATTTTTATCTTATAAAAATTTGTAGAAAATTCTACAACTTTATTGGGGCCTATTAAATAAAAAAAAAGGACATTTACGTATATACCATCCAATTTTTCCTTCCATTTTTTTTCCCCCCTACGTGGAAGATAAATGATTTAAGATTTGACAGTACAAGAATATTTTTATTAAATACTTAATCATTTAAGATTTGACAGTACAAGAAATCACATTGGTAAGAAATTCTGGTTTGCATGTGATTATTCCTCATTTTTCTGAGTTTCAAAAATTTTAATTTAAATAATAATAATAATAATAATAATAAATTTTAAAAATTTTGCATATATGCAGAGGTGCATATATTGTCTGATCTCGACTGTCGATCAAAGCAAATATGTATTTTGGTGAGCTTTATTTTTTATTTTACTTATAAAAAAAAAAAACAAGATCGACGGTCGAGACCGGACATCCGTATGAAAACGCCCGCACTAGCCCGAAATACGGGTCGGCCGTCTCGAACTACAAATTTATTTTTTGGGACAATTGCATACAGATCACCCTAAACTTACTATTTATAAATCAACCCCACTTTCATTCATTTTCTAAATTCTCACTCAAATATTAAAATTCATGGTAAACCCCAATCCATATTTTTATTTTTATTAAATACTTAATCATTTAAGATTTGACAGTACAAGAAATCACATTGGTAAGAAATTCTGGTTTGCATGTGATTATTCCTCATTTTTCTGAGTTTCAAAAATTTTAATTTAAACGAAATAAATATTTTATTTTAAAATTCATTTCGATCAAATCATTAAGAATTTGATAAAAATAAAAAAAAACATATATGAGTTGGCGGGGGTTTATCATGAATGTTAAGATTTGAGTAAGCATTCGTAAAATGGATGAAAAATATATCGGAGGCTTGAAAAAATATTACATCTGCATCATGACTCCAATCACAATGTGTCATGTATATGGTCTAGCTCTACAATACATTAAACTATTTAGTTTTTGTTATTCAGTGGAGTTTGACCGTAAACTCGGAGCGTTGTAATTGAAGTCCTGATATATTTTTACATCACGACTCCTGATGTAGCCACTATGGTGCAAATTTAGAGTTTTCTAACAAACCAAACTGCAACCAAATTCATAAAATCAACAGAACAATTTTCACGAGAAACCCACACCATCAGCCATCAACCACACAACAGATTCAAAATAAGAAACTCACCAATCTGTCCCAGAATCCAGTCAGGTTTCTCTTCTTCTTCCTCCCCAACATTCGTGACAACAGAAGAAACATGATGATGGGCATGGAGGACGACGACGCTCCAAATGGGCATGGAGGACGACGGCGCTCTAACCCTAGAGGATATTTGGAAGATTCGCTCCAACGGCACTCCGAAGGGCTCCTACAGATTGCCCAACATGGATGTGATGGATCTTTCTCTGATCTGTTTCGATCCAAGCGAACCCCGCAGCTCCATTATCTACTCCTTCGAAGCTTTTCTGGAGAACCCCTTCATCTTCTCCCTCCCCACCGTCATGCTGCAGATCATCCTCATGACCGTCACCACCCGCATCATCTACTACCTCCTCCGCCCCATCAACCAGCCCCGCATCGTCTGTGACATCTTGGTCAGAATCTATCATTAACTTTATATCTTCTGCCATTGCCATCTTTGTTACCATTCTGCAATATTAAAGTTCACATTTTTTTATCACAGTCCGGCATCCTCTTAAGCCCGGAGGTGATCGGCCGGACGCACCGCAAGTACAGATACGTCTTCTACCCTCAGAAAGAAGTGGTTTTTAACAGAACGCTCGCCGCATTCGGTCTGATGTTCTATCTCTTCCTCATCGGCGTCAAGATGGATCCGAAGATCGTCTTAAAATCCGGCAAGAAAGCTCGCTTCATCGGAGTACTCAGCACAGTCATTCCTTTCAGTCTGGTCGGCGCCACCACCTTCTTCCTCCGCTCGTCCCTCAGCTCCAACATCGCGCGCGGCAAATTCCTTGTCTTCCTCGTGGCCTCCCTGTCCCTCACCGGCTTCCCTGTCCTCGCCGACATCCTCAACGAGCTCAACCTCCTCAACTCCGAGCTCGGCCGGCTCGCCATGTCGATGTCGATGGTGCACGGCATCTTTGGCTGGTTCTTCCTGGCGCTTTTCACGGCGATGAGCCAAAGCCAGGGAGGGTGGGACAAGTCGGCATGGGCGATGGCGTCGCTGGTGGTCATGGTGTGCGTCATTGTTTTCGGATTTTTCGGATTCCGGCGTTGGGTGCTGTCGATCGTGCGGCGGACGCCGAAGGGGGAGAGGGTGAGCAGCATCCACCTGCACCTGATTGTGGTGGCGGTGATTGGGATGGGGTTGGTGAGCGAGGTGTTGGGGGCGTCATTCCTGGTTGGACCGTTGATAATGGGGTTGGTGGTGCCGGACGGGCCGCCGCTGGGGAGGGATTTGGTGGACAGGATTGGGAATGTGGCGGGGGAGGTGTTGATGCCGCTGCTGTATACAGTGGCGGGATCGGTGATTTCGCCGGGGGTGGTGCTGCATTTGAAGGCGTGGAGGGTGCTGATTGTGGTGGTGGTGTGGTGGTGGTGGCGTGGCTGTCCAAGTTGCTGGCCACCATGGGGCCGGCGATGTACTGCGGGTTTTCGCTGCGGAAGGCCTTCTTGTTGGGGCTTATTATGAATTTTCAGGGGGTTCTGGACTTGATTACTTACATGAATTTCAAGAATGGGACTGTAAGTTTTTATTTTTTAATCTTCTTTTTTTCTTCTCTCATCATCTTCATCATCATTCAGGGCTGTCTGCGAATGGATTTAGGCAGAATTCTCTGGGTATAAATGAGCTGAGCTTGAGCGAGTTCAGGCTTGGCTTGTGTTCGACTCATTTGAAATTGCTCGTGTTTGAAATCGGCAGGTGAACAGTGTGTTCGTGCCGACTTGAATTAAATTTTCTTGTTTGTGTTCGGCTAGAATTTGGCTCCTTAGAATTAATTGAAAAAAAAAATAGATGTGGGATGTTAGATATGAACCTGCACCAATTCTGTGCAATAGAAGACTTAGAATCATAGGTCATACGAGTTGTTATTATTTAAATTTAGATATAAATATATAACATGGTATTATATAAATTATATATTTAATTTCTTTATAGTGAGCTAAAAAGAGCCCAACATGAGTAAACAAATTGTTGATTTGTTTGTGTTCGGCTCATTCACTTAACGAAGAAGCCAAATATGAGCTACTTAACGAACAAGCAGAACATGAGCTGCTTAAAGAACAAGCAGAACACGAGTTGCTTAAAGAACAACACGAACACGAGAGCTTTTTTGAGAGACCTACTGGATACTGTAAATCTGAATTCTAGTGATTTCCGCTGTAAATCTTAAATCCCATGAACCGGTGGAATTAACTTCGTGGTGTTTGGGATTTAACTTCGCCAACAACCATAACAACTTCTTAAATTTTTACTGGAATTGCCAGATAACTCTATTGAATTTACAAGATTTAGTAAATTCATTCTCAGACAAACTTTAAGATTTAACCTTTCAAAGTTCAGTAAACTCAAATTCATGGGAGTTACTAAATCATAATACCTTGAATTACAAGATTTAGTAAATTCATTCTCAGACAAACTTCAAGATTTAACCTTTCAAAGTTCTCATCTGTTGCCACAGAGCACCTCTAAGTAGCTAAATTTAACTAATTGGCGCGCAGCTGCTGGAAGAGGAGAGCTACACATTACTGGTATTCGCCATCGTCTTCATCACCTCCGTCGCGACTCCGTTGGTGAAGCGTCTCTACAACCCCCTCGGCCATGATGAGCTCGTCGGCCGGCGAGGCATCCAACACCTTCGACCTAACGCAGAGCTGCGAGTCTTAGCTTGTCTGCTCAACGAAGACCACATCCCCAGCACATTGGGCCTCTTTGAAGCCTCATGTCCGGCACAAGAGACTCCTATGTGCGTCTACGTTCTCCACCTGGTGGAGCTGACGGGCAGGGCTAGCTCCACCGTCATTGCCCATAGGAACAAGAAGGGGTTCATCAATCCCAGCAAAATGGACCGGCTGCACAACGCATTCATCAACTATGAGCAGGAGAAGAAGGGGATCGTCGCTGTCCAGCCCTTCACGGCCATCGCACCTCTCAAGGCCATGCATCAGGACATCTGCTCCCTCGCAGCTGATAAAAGCGTCGCCATCATCATCCTCCCCTTGCCCCGCAGTGATGCCACCGGTGGGTTCAGGGATCAGGACCACGCCTTCCGGAGCAACATTCCCCACATCCTCTCCAAGGTGACTCTTATCAATTATCATATATATAGTTGAATCGTATATGGTGGTGTAAATAAGCGAGTTTGTAATGGTTGATTTGCAGGCGCCGTGCTCGGTGGGGCTTCTGGTGCACATGGGCTTAACCGTCACAGCGGTTTCGACGCCGCCGAACTCTCGGCATCACGTCGGACTACTCTTCTGGGGAGGTCCCGACGACCGCGAGGCTCTCTCCTATGCGGCTCGCATGGTGCGCAACGAAGGCGTAACCCTAAATGTCACCAGGTTCCTTCCATGGCGCTCCGCGGCATCGACCGAAAGGGAGGCGCAGATGGACGGCGACTTAATAGAGGATTTCAGAAAGGAAAACAGCGGCAACCTGCGGGTACTGATGAATGAGGTTTCCGTGAGCGACATGGAGCAGACGATTGCGGCCATACGAAACTTCAGCCACGCGGGTTACGATCTCGTAATGGTCGGTCGGCGGCTTTCATGGAACTCAATACTGAATGATGAGTTGGAGGAGTGGAGCGAGTTTCCGGAGCTGGGGGTCGTCGGCGACATGATCGCCTCGGCTGATTTTGAGTCGGACTTTTTTATTCTTGTGGTGCAGCAGAGGGCTTGAATTAGGGTTTTGGGTTACTGCGGTAGGTATTATCAGATCACTACTGTGTCTTTGGCTTATATTCTTTACATTTTGTTTATTAGGAGGAAATTTTACACCGTATGTCTGGACGGCCAATCGACCAAT